TAAAGTCAGTAGGGAGCTACTGGAGTTCATTGATTGGTTAAGTAACATAGTCAGACCTGCACTTTAGGAAAACCATTTTGGCGGTTACAGGGATGATAGATTATGTGCCAGGCCCTGTGCTAAGTGCTGGGGATACAGAAAGAGGCTAAAGATAGTCTCTGCCATCAAGGAGCTTACAATCTAATGAAAGAGACATTATACATGTGTAATGTGTATAGGTATATATACATACACACATGCATGCATGCATACATAGTTATTGTTTGTCCTTCATTTTTGAAGAGGACCAATGACATCACAGGTGATATCTTGACTTGTATGTGAATTAGATTTAAGTGGGGCAGAGTTATACAAAGTTGTCAGCCTCACTCTCTGTCTTCCAGAGTCACTGAAGTCCAACGGCAAGACAAAAGTCAAGATGCCTGTCAATGGCCTGGGACGCAGTGGATAACCTGGGTATCTTCAATGCCTGACGAAGCTCTAAGTGTCCCCTAACACCTGCTTCAGCCGCAGTTGGAAGAAATTGCTCCCATCCAGCCATTCTGAAGGGGAAGTCTTCCCATCCTCCAGGTAGACACCTCCCTAATTCACCAATGGGGTTTGAGGCCTGTCAGTTATCCTCAGCCTTGTTTAGCCCATCTGCAGAGGTTTTACTGGGGTGTGGCTGATGTGTATGCTATAGCTTTTTGGATCCACAAGTGAGAATCGGGTGATAGGTAGGCTCTAAAGGTGGATGAGCAGCCCTGAAAAGGGTTTGGCAAGCCCTCGCACCAGAGGTGCTAGTGTATACACACACACACACACACACACACACACACACACACACACAGAGCTATATGAAACAAACACAAGGTGGTTTGGGGATGCAGTGTGCTAGCAGTTTGGGGGACCAGAAAAGTTTTCATGACGAAGATTTTGATTGATCCGAGTCTTAAAGAAAACCAAGAATTTCAAGAGACAGAGCTTTAGAGGGAGAACATTTCAGGCATAGGGGACAGCCAGGGCCAAAGTCTAGAGGTCGGAGATAGGAGGATCTTGTGTGTGAAAAAGCAAGCAGGTCAATGTAACTGGATTGTAATGCTTGTGGAAAAGTGTAAAGCTAAAAAGACTGGAAAAGTAGGAAGGGATTTGATTGTGAAGATCTTTCAATACCAAATAGAAGTTTATATTCAATTCTTGAGGAAAGAGAGTACCCCTGGAGTTCAAGTAGCGATGATAAAATGATGATACTTTAAGAAAATCACTTTGGCTGTAGTGTGGGAGATGAAAAGAAAGAGAAGAGACTTGAAGCTGGGAGAATAAATAAGATGCTATTGCAGTAGTCTAATATAGATTTTATGAGGCCAAGTAAAGTATAATAAACCTGGAAAGGACAGCTGGAGCTATGTTTCAAAGGGCTTTAAATGCCAAACAGAGAAGTTTGTATTTTGCCCTACACAGGGATAGGGAGGTACAGGAGATTACTGAATAAGGGAGTGACATGCTCAGATCTTTACTTTAGGAATATCAAGTTGGCAGCTATGTAAAAAATGGATTGAAGATGGAAGGAGACCTCTGGTGGCAGGGTGATTAATTAAGAGGCTATTTCAGTAGTCCAGAGGTTAAACTATGATGGTGGTTGTGTGAGTGGAGAGAAGGAAACGAATGTGAGAAATTTTGAGATTGAGATTGAATGGAGAAGCCTTAACATTTGATTAAATATATGGGATGAGGAAAGGTAAAGACTCAAGGAACACTCCAAAGGTGTAAACCTGGGTCACTAGCAAGAATTCATAGCTTCCACAGAAACACATAATATGTAAAATAGATTTGCAAAGTGTGATTTCAGATCCAAAGGAGAGAGGGGAATATTACTGAAGGCTTTATGGAGAAGGTGGCATTAGAGCTGGACTTTAAAGGAGAGATAGGTATTCAGCAGAGGAAGAAGGGGAAGAAGGACATTTGAGGCAAGTGCAAAGCAGAGAAGCAAGAGCAAAATTGTGGAGACACAGAGCACAAGGCCTGTGGGTAGTTTGGGGTGGGTAGGGTTTTCCTGTTTGATAGGAGCATGGAATGTGTGGGGAGGGAAATAGTGTGTTAGAAGGCTGTATCATAATTTAAGGGACTGTTACGTGCTAGGCACTGGCCTAGGAAACAATTCCTTCCATCAAAAAGCTTTATGAACTTTCCTTTAGGGCAGGTGGGTAAGAAATCTGTGATCAAGCACACAGAGAGATTTCTTTTTCATGTGGCAGCCAAAAAGTGATCTTATTGGACATAACAGGAGGGACCAGTTTGGTACTGGGCACCGTAAGCCACAGCCAACCAGCTTTTACTACATTCTGTTTCTAGTGTGATCTGACAAGTAGCATTCCTCCCACGACTATAATTTTAACAGAGGACACAGCAATCAATAAATAAAAAAAAAATTACTATTAGGGCAGCTAAGTGGTAAAATGGCTAGAGCACTGGATCTGGAGTCAGGAAGACTCATCTTCCTGAATTCAAATTTGGTCTCTGACACCAACTAGTTGTGTGTCCCTGAGCAAGTCACCCAACCCTGTTTGCCTCAGTTCCTCGTCTGTAAAAATGAGCTGGCGAAGAATGTGGCAAATTGCTCCAATGTCTGCCAAGAAAACATCAAAATGGTGTCATGAAAAGTGGGATACAACGGAAACAACTGAACAACAAGAAGAAACAATGAAAGGAATGAATTCAAAGAATCCTGGGTAATAAGAAATTATACAGAACAAAGCGCTCAGAACAGGAAATCAATTTATAAATAAAAATGCATTTCTAAATTTTGACAATGAAGGCAGGTAAAATAAATTGATTAACATTTTAAACCCCAAATCTTCATGTGTAAACATTGACAAAGATTTGCAAAGTTCTTATTCCCTATTTCTTAACATAAATGAGTAGCAGATTGAGTGCTGACAAACAAATAGAATAATATTTGACACCTTCTTAAACGAGTTTGGGGACATGAAGTAGAAACACACAAAAGCTACTCAAGGAAGATTCTTTCTATGTCGGTGTTTATACAGAAGGTATTTGGGTGTTTTTTTTTTTAATGCTAATCTATTTGTTTTATAAGCCTTCATTACTTGTCAAAACAATGAAATACATGCATTTTACTCCAAGGATTTCATCAGCTTTTAACCAATGAAGAAATTATATTGTCAGAAATTCTGAATCAAATTTCAAAGAAAATGCCATTTTGAAATAACAGACAAGTTTTTCCATTGAAACAATGTGTACTTTTCAAAAAAAAATCAGATCTATGGTTTCTTTAGTGTAGAGAGGAAAGGGCAACTAATGCCACTTCACCTAATCTAATCACTTAGAGTCTTAGACAGATGCTTGGGGTACCGAGAGAGGTTAATGTGTGTATGGGGGGGTGTCACAGCTAGCAAGTATTAGATTTGATTCTACTTCTTTCTGACTCAACAGATCAGCTCTCTATCCATTCTGCTTCTCAAATAGTATATTATTTTACTACATAGCCTAGTATTAACTCTTAAATAGCATATTAATAGTTTATATGAATAGTTCTACAATTTGCCAAAGGCAAGCTACCCTTTTCCCTCTTTTTGTCCAATTTTAGGCCTCGATCACTGCCCCTTTGTAATATCTATCATGGATATATATCTGTGGATGGATGAGCTATACAAGATATCACAGAATTCTTTTAAAGACCGAAAGCTTCTCCCTGACAGACTTGTCTTTCTAAACACCAGCATTCTTTCCCATGATATCTTACAAGTATCAGTCATGGCATGCCACAGGCTCCAAAGAATTCAAATTGAGGATGCCCAAATGGCAACAGAGACAGGCCTGGTGTAAGCAGATTGTAGACACATTACCAAAAAAAAAAAAGAATTTTTGCAGAAGCAGCACAAAGACTTATGTAAAAAGTATCATCCTAAAACTGTAAGACCCCTCCCCCCTCCATGGACTGGTCATATGGAGAGTCAGTTATAACCTATGGTCAACCAGCACCCATGCAAAGTCAAGGGAATTATAGGAACATTCGCCCCAACACCCCCCTCCAATCAGGTTTGTGTTCATTTGTTCCAGACGCCTCAGTGCCGCAGCTCCCAAATTTAGATGACTTCTTGCTCTGGAGGGAGAAGAAAACCCAGCTCAGATCATTAGGGAACATGAGTAGTAGGTATACTTCATAAAACCTGGATGGGGTAGGCCCTCCATTCTCTCTTTATATAAAGGGAGTGGGGTTGGGAAAGATGTAGGATCCGTAAAAAGTAAAGATACATGTAAATCGATAGTTGGAGGCTCGCTGGTAGCAGTTCTAATTTATTTCTCACTGGCCGGCACTGCAAACTTTGCATTGGATCAGGGTGCTGCAGGCCGCAACCAAACGGCTTAAGTGAAACCCTACTGCTAAAACTCAACGGGTCAAGGACCTTAGTGTGAGCTGTGGGGGGGGGGGGGTGGGGGCAGTGGAGGGGTTGGAGGTGAGAAGTGTGAACAATGCTGCCACAGCCAAGTGGGATTGCACAAACACCTACAAGCTGTTTACACACGCACAGGAAAGTTACATCTTCCTCTGCCTTGCATAAGCTCACAAGTGTTCCACCTGGACATTGCAGGTGCCAACGCCTACTGACGTCCAGGTTAAACCAAAACACTAAAAGACAGGCAGGAGCTGAGGCCAGAGGCGTGCAAGGACCTCCCTCTGCCCTCCGCGGCCAGCCCAGGGAGGTCCCGGGACTTTGGCTTCCAGGAGCGGGAGCCTGCGTGCCTAGCCACGTGATCCTGTCCTCTGCTGGGGGTGTGAAGTACCTAGCCCTCGCCCCCCCCGCCTCCTAAATCAGCATTCAAAGATAATCTCCCTCCCCGGACGCGCCTCAGAAGGCTGTTTACTCAGGTTCCGGGGCAGCGGCGGAAGCAGCCCGAGACCGCGCATCGCGCACAATCCCCTCGTTGCCAGGGCAGGACTAAGGCGGGGCGTATCCAGGTTACGGGGCCGCTGGCTCGTCTGCCTTTGGAGGCGAAGGATGGAGGAGGCAGGAGCGACGGGGGCCGTGGGCGCCGGGGCAGGGGCCGGAGCCGCGGCCGTCGAGTCGGAGCTGAACCTGTCTCGCCTAGGCGTGTCCCCGGAGGCCCTGGCGCAGGAGCTGGAGGTGCGGGCCAAGGAGCGGCGGGGCTCCCGGGAGACGCAGCGGCTGCTGCTGCCGCACAACCGGCTGGTGTCGCTGCCGCGGACCCTGGGCGCCAGCTTCCCGCAGCTGCAGCTGCTCGACGTGAGCGGCAACGGGCTGGTGGCGCTGGGGCCCGAGCTGCTGTCCCTGCGCTGCCTGCGCACGCTGCTGGCCAAGAACAACCGGCTGGGAGGCCCCGGCTCGCTGCCCAAGGGCCTGGCCCAGGCGCCGCTCTGCCGCACCCTGCAGGTGCTCAACCTCAGCGGCAACTGCTTCCAGGAGGTGCCCGCCGCGGTACTGGAGATGCGGGCTCTGCAGACGCTCAGCCTCGGCGGCAACCAGCTGCACACCATCCCGCCCGAGATCGAGAACCTCCAGAGGTGAGGGGAGACCCCCTAGTGCGCCGCCTCCGGGGAGACCCCCGTACTGCTTCTTTAGGGGAGACCCCCTAGTGCGCCGCCTCCGGGGAGACCCCCCCTACTGCCCCTTTAGGGGAGACCCCCCTACTGCTCCTTCTGGGGAGACCTCCCTATTGCGCCTCCAGAGGAGACCCCCTAGTGCGCTGCCTCCGTGGGGGCCCCCTACTGCTCCTTTAGGGGAGACCCCCGCCAGTGCGCTGCCCCCGGGGAGACCCCTTACTGCTCCTTTAGAGGAAACCTCCCTACTGCTCCTTCAGGGGAGACTCCACTACTGCTTCAGGGAGAACCCCCTGCTGCTTCTCTAGGGGAGACTCCCGTACTGCTCCTTCAGAGGAGATTCCCCGCTTCTGCTCTTCTAGAGGAGACCCCCCCAATTGCTTCTTCAAGGGAGACCCCTTCCAGTGCGCCGTCCCCGGGGAGACCCCCCTACTGCTCCTTTAGGGGAGACCTCCCTACTGCTCTTCCAGGGGAGAACCCACCTACTGTTCCTCCAGAGGAGAGATCCCCAACTGCTTCAGGGAGACCTCTCACAGCTCCTCTTCTAGGGAGACAGCCCTTCTATTGCTGCTCCAGGGAGAGACAATCCTCCCCCCACCCCACTACTTCTACCGAGGGAGGATTCCCCCCCTCTACTGCTCCTTCTAGGGGAGCTCCAGAGGAAGACCCTTCCCCCATTACTGCTTCCCTTCTAGGGGGAGATCGCTTATTGCTCCAGCGAGAAACTGTCCCTTCCCTTAACCCCTATCCCCAGGTAAGTGTGCCATTTCGGCCTGGGAATCCCTCCAGTTGTTACATAAAGGGACACTAGGATTTTCACTGTAGGATTTCTAGAACTGGTGGTTCCTTATAAATCAAGTACTTCTCTCCATCTCCATTTTACAGATAAGCACACTAAGCCCCAGCAAAGTTGAAATGAGTTGGCCAAGGCCATTCAAAGAGTAAAATGGCTTTGTGGAAATGTGATAGAAAGAGGGCTGGCTTAGGAATCAGACCTTGGGCAAGACTCTTAACCTTGCTAAGCCTTGGTTTCTTCATCTGTAAAATGAGTGGTCTAAATCAGTGGCATAGAACTCTGGTAGAAACAAGGTTCATTAAATGTATAGGGCTACTAGGTGGTAGAGTGGATTAGAGCACTGGGCCTGGAGTCAGGAAGACTCATCTTCCTGAGTTGAAATTTGGCCTCCCACACTTACTAGCTGTGTGACCCTGGGCAAGTCACTTAACCATCTTTGCCTCAGTTTTTTTTGTGTGTAAAATGAGCTGGAGAAGGAAATGGCAAACTATTCCAGTATCTTTACCAAGAAAACCCCTAAATGGGGTCAGGAAGAGTCAAACTGGACTGAAAATAGTTGAACAGTAACTACAACAAAAATAAAGATCCCTGTAGGTCGGTTGACTTAGTTTTAAAATGTAATGTCATCTATGTTTTATTGTATTTTTCTATTGTTAAATATTTCCCAATTACATATTAATCTAGTTTGGGCTGCACTCAGGAAGTGTCATGGGCAGCTTTTTTGATATCTTGGAATCTCATCTTTTGGAAAAGGTCTTTTCTTGGTTTCTCCTAATGCTAGAGCCCTCCTTCTGTGTCTTTTATACACACCTAGTTGTTTGTATGTTGTGTCCCCCATTAGAATGTGAGCTCCTGGAGGGCATAGTAAGTAAGCCCTTATTAAATACTAGTTGACTGAATGAATAAATCAGGAGGCCTTGGGCAAGTCATTTAACTGTTCTAGGCCTCAGGTTCCTCATCTGCAAAATGAGAATGTTGAACGAGATGATGTGGTTGAAAGACAGCTGGAGTTTGGAAGCAGAAGACCTCCCTAGGTCTCAGTTTTCTCATCTATAAAATAAAGGGAATTGGATTAGATCAGGGATTCTTAACATGTGATCCTGGAACTTGTCTTTTTAATACTTTAGTAACTGTGTTTTGATATTGTTTTCCTTTGTAGTTGTAGTATTTTATTTTATGTATTTAATGTAATTAATTTCTGAGAGAAAGGGGTCCATAAGCTTCACCAAAGGAAAAATGTCAGAACCCCTGAACTAGATGGTAAGGTGGAAAGAATACTAGATATGGAATCAGAAAACCTTAGACAAGTCATTCAACTTCTTTCAGCCTCAGTTACCTCGTATGTAAAGTGAAGGATTGGACTTAGATGATCTTGGCTATCTTTTCCAGGCCTAAGAAAAGCTACCCTCTCAACCTCTGATTCCAGACTCCCTCCATTCATCACTTCATGACTCCTTGTCAATTGTTTCTGGTCAGTTACCTGGAAGAATCACAAAGTCGTAGTACCATAGCTGGAAGGGACTTCAGAAGCTATTGAGTCTAAAACCCTCTTTTTGCAGATGAGGAAACTGCTGCCCAGAGAAAGACTATGTGTTCTGCCCAAAGTAGCTCAGTAAGTGGTAGAGAGGCAGGATTAAACCCAGGTCCACCGACTTCAGGGCAAGTGCTTTTCCCATTGTTTTTTGGCTGAGTCTCGTGTCCTTTGGCCTTTGTAACAGTGTAGTCTTTAGGCTGCCACTGGCCATTCCCTGTTCACTGACGCCTGTGACCTTACAAATAAGAGTTTGTAATGGTTGATGTTTAGCAGGGCACCCAGAGTGTGGAGTCTAGTGCATAGCTCCTTAATCACAGTTGAACAAGATCTTGGAGTCAAAGAACATTCCATTCTGAAAAGACCTTAGGCATTAACTAATTTAATCCTCTCATTTTGTACATGGGGAAAATAAGGACCAGTGGCCTTGGTAGAGTTGGGGCAAGATTCTGGGGCTCTTGAGTATTGACTGCATTTTCCACTATACCCCCAGATTTACTTAAAAATGACTTATTAGAACCACAGTCTGAAGGGAAGAGGTTTCTAGTGGATAGAGCACCAGGCTTGGAATCGTGAAGACCTGAATTTACATCTGGTCTCAGATGCTTACAAGCTGTGTGACCATGGGCAAGTCACTTTACCCTGTTTGCCGCAGTTTCCTCATCTGTAAAATGAGCTGGAGAAGGAAATGGGGGGTCACAAATAGACACAACTGAAAACAGCTGAACAACAGTAATAGGTAATTTCACAAGTATAAGATGGGGAAGGTATGGTTAGTACTTGTTTTGAAAAAAAAAATCTAGTGATTTTACTAGAGAGCAAGTTCAATATGAGTGTTCTGTGTGATGTAACAGCCAAAAAATGCTTATGTGATCTTTGGCTACATTTAGAGAGGGGCATGCTTCCAGAGTAGGGATGTAATAGCCTCCCTGTGCTCTGCCCTCACCCAGCGTCATTTGGAGTATTGTGTTCAGGTCTGGCTTTAGGAAGCCAGGATGGGAATGTGCCTTTAGTCCTGAATATGAAGATGGCTGAAAGGAAACTGGCCACGTAGCCTGAAGAACAGAGGACTCAGAAGAGCACAGCTTAGCTGTCTTCGAATATCAGAAGGACTGTCAAGTGAAAGAGGGCTTCCTTTATTGAGCTTGGCCCCGAGGGGCAGAACCAGGTGCAATGAGTAGAAGTTACAAACTGCCAGTTTAGGCTTGCTATCAGGAAGAGCTTCCTAGTCTTCAATTAGAGCTGTCCCCCATAGAAGGGTCTCCTCCAGAGGTGGTGGGTGCCACCTCCTGGGAGGTCTTCAAGCAGGAGCTAGACAGCCACTTGTCTTGTCAGGTACATTATAAAGGGAGGGCAGAGAGGGAACAGGGTGGTGATCCTTTTATGTGTGGTTTGAACTAGCTGGCTGATTGCTAAGATTCTTTTTGTGATTCTGTGAAACCTGTTGTATTTTTCTGTGTATTTGCACTGTGACAGTGTCTTTCTGACGAACTTAAGGATTTCTTTTTTTTTTCTTTCTTGTATGTTTTTTAAAAAATTTTATTAATTTATTTTGATTTATCAACAATCATTTCCATAAGCTTTTGAGTTTTAAATTTTTCTCTCTCTCCCACCTCAAGACGGTGCACAATCTGATATAGATGATGCATATACATTCCTACTAAACATATTTTCACATTAGTCATGTTGTAAGGAAGAATTAGAACCAATAAGAGGAACCATAAGAAAGAAGAAACAAAACAAAACAGAAGGGAAAAAAAAGAGCAAATAGTATGGCTTCGATCTGTATCCAGACACCATAGTTCTTTTTCTGGATGTGGATAGCATTTTCCATCATGAGACTTTTAGAGATATCTTAGATCCTTGCATTGCTGAGAAGAGCTAAGTCTATCAAAATTAATCATCGCACAGCATGGCTATTATTGTGTACAACATTTTCCTGGTTCCGCTCACTTCACTCAGCATCAGTCCATACAAGTCTTTCCAGATTTTTCTGAAGTCCACCTGCTCATCATTTTTTATGGCACAATAGTATTCTATTACATTCATATACACAACTTGTTCAGCCATTCCCCAATTGATGGGCATCCCCTCAATTTCCAGTTCTTTGCTACCACAAAAAGAGCTGCTATAAATATTTTTGTACATGTGGGTCCTTTTCCTGTTTTTGTGATCTCTTTGGGATACAGCCCTAGAAGTGGTATTGTTGGGTCAAAGGGTATGCACATTTTTATAACTCTTTGGGTGGGGTTCCAAATTGCTCTCCAGAATGATTGTATCAGTTCACAACTCCACCAATAAGGCATTAGTGTTCCAGTTTTCCCACATCTTCTCCAGCATTTATCATTTTCCTGTTTTGTCATGTTAGCCAATCTGATAGTTGTGATGTGGTACCTCAGAGTTGTTTTGATATGCATTTTTCTAATCAATAGTGCTTTAGAGCATTTTTTCATATGACTGTAGATGACTTTAATTTCTTCATCTGAAAACTGCCTATTCATGTCCTTTGACCATTTATCAATTGGGGAATGACTTGTATTCTTATAAATTTGACTTAGTTCTCTATGTATTTTAGAAATGAGGCCCTTATCAGAGACATTGGTTGTAAAAATTCTTTCCCAGTTTTCTTTTTCCCTC